GGCCATTATCTCCGTAACCGTTCAACTTTGGACATAGGTGTTTTGGGTTATATCGGCATACTTTAACATAAGGAACACCCTCACGAAGTTTGGTCCATTCCTCCTGGGACACCCTGTATATAGTAGAAGTAGTAATAATCCAAACATGAGAGTGTATTGCAATAAGTATTACAAAATTCTAAGCAGAGTAATAAGAGGATTAAAGGTAGCATTACTGTAGGCTTATAGCAAAATCAGATAGTAAGATAAAAACAACCTGGAATATAATAAAACACGAGTCAGGAAAATTACATCAGACTGAACAGATATCATCTGTTCTTATAAATGGTGAAAAAGTAAAGGATCCAGAAATAATCGCAGATGCCTTCAATACTTTTTTTTTGACGATTATGGAAAATCTAAACTTGCATCAAGGGACAAAGGGTGATGCCATTTCATTTCTAAAAGATGCTTTTCCTAGAAAACTCCCTGGTATTAAGTCCATTCCAACCAAGGAAAATGAAATAAAAAGCATATTACTTTCTCTCAAGGCAAAAAACTCATCAGGTTATGATGGAATAACAAGTAAAATTTTAAAAGTTTGTACATCACTCATTAGTCACCCATTATCTCACATTTGTAATCACTCGTTCTTAACTGGGATCTTCCCTAACCATCTTAAGATTTCAATAGTAAGACCACAATACAAAAAAGGTGACAAATCTAGTATGTCAAACTATAGACCAATCTCACTATTAACTACTTTTTCTAAAGTACTTGAGAAAGTTCTGTACAATAGATTAAGCCATTATTTGCAGACTAATAATATACTGATCCCAGAACAATTCGGCTTCAGGAAGGGAATATCCACTGAAAATGCAGCCTTTAGGCTAACAGACAGTGTATTAAAATCTATTAACCAGAAAATGCATGTAGGTGGAATATTCTATGATTTAGCTAAAGCTTTTGATTGTGTTAATCATGAAATTTTGCTAACTAAATTACAATTTTATGGTACTCAGGGAACAATGGCAGGTTGGTTCAGATCCTACCTTGTAGACAGAACACAAAAGATTGAAATAAAATCACCTAATGCAACCCAAAGTACTTACTCAAAATGGGGAACAATAGATCATGAAGTTCCTCAGGGGTCAATTTTAGGACCTTTGCTTTATATAATCTGTATAAATGACCTTCCCCCAACAATAAATACCCAATCAGTACCCATAATATTTGCTGATGATACTAGTGTAATATAGTAATTTCTAGTAAGAATTTAGATAATTTCTATGTCATTGAACAGTGTTCTCTCTCATATGAGTAAATGGTTTGCCGCTAACAAACTGGCCCTGAATCTAGATAAAACAAATATAATAAAATTTATAACAAATAATACACCTCAACATCCATTATGCATTGGATATAATAATAAATATATAGGAGTCAGTACACACAAAATTCCTTGGCTTACAAATTGATAACCACTTCAACTGGAAATACCATATGGATCAGTTGGTTCCAAAGTTAAGTGGGGCATGTTATGCAGTACAAACTTTGTTACATGTCAGCAACATTGATACACTGAAATCAGTTTATTTTGCCTACTTTCAGTCTATAATGAAGTCTGGAATAATATTTTGGGGTAACTCATTTGACAGCAAAAAGGTATTTACATTACAAAAGAAAATTGTTAAAATCATGGTGGGCGTAAAACCTCAAAATTCTTGTAGAGAGCTATTTAAGAGATTACAGATCTTACGTCTTCCATGTGAATATATATTTTCATTATTAAGCTTCATTATAAATAACTGAGAACGTTTTCAGACCAATTCAGATGTACACGGTGTTAACACAAGAAATAAGCACCATCTCCATAGACTGGTTGCTAAACTGACATGTTTTCAGAAAAGCACATATTATTCTGGCATTAAAATTTTCAACAACCTACTGTCTAGTCTCAAAAGTCTAATGAATGAAAAGGTGCAATTTAAATTAGCACTGAAATGATACTTAAATACACTCTCATTCTATTCTGTTGATGAATTCCTACTGTCTAAAAACGACTCGTCCTTTTAAAAGGTTATGTACATAGCATAAGTTGACAGTATTGACTTATATATGTGGATGTGTTTCTTTTTGTTGTGTCTCAGTTGTACTGTATTTGTGGCTCTTGTATTTGTATGACTTGTTCCACATCCCACAGTCATTCTGACTTACTTTGGATCTACGGAATGTAATGTATGTATGTATGTATGTATGTAAAATACATCACATGTACACAGTACAGATATATGGAAGGTAGGAGAGCAATTGGTTTTGTAAGTGAGCCAATCAGAGCTGGTGCCCATGAAAACTTTGAATATATTCTGAAAGGAAAGAGAGTTGACATGCCGAGCGGAGCCGAAGTGAGCCGAGTCCCAGCCCGCTTTGCTTAGCAACCGCTGTTTACTCGCTTTGCTTAGCAACCAGCGTGCTGGGACTCGGCTCACTTCAGCTCCGCTCGGCACGTCACGGCTGGCGGGGAGGGAGGGGCGTCATCCATAGTGCAACACATCACAATATTTTGAGAAGGAAACAAGGTGAGAAGAACTTCTAATGAGAATATACAGAGGGGGAAAGTTATATTAATTCGTGGTTATTAGAGCTGTACTGATACAGGAAACAGAATTCACAGTAGGATAAACCACAGTGTGCCATGAAAGAGAAACTGTACCAAATGCAGGTGTACCTGTGATCAGCAGCTCAACAGATGAATAAGAAAAAAGAAGAAAGCGCAAAGCAGATCAATTCGTAGGTCCTTTAAAAGCCAATTATGCCAAATACAGATGCACCCGTGCATCAGTAGGTGAAAAGAGGATAAGAAAGGGAAGATTTGACAGGAAGTAGATTGAACTGTGAACTGCACAGCTCAGTGTATTCCAGCCTGCGAAACAGCCTGTAACTGACCTCCTGTACATGAGTGGAGAAGGAAATAGGGGAGGAAGAGAGAAAAAGAGGAAGATTTGTTTAACATGCCAACAATTCTGGGATGTTTATGACAATAATGATGGACTATGGTATACTTTGGGACTCAAATAAAGAAAATACTGCAACTGATCATGTCTTATGGCATCACAAGACTACTAAGTGACATGAGCTTTAATTAATCATGCAAATAACATTTAGATAAGGTAAAGGAAATCCCATGATAGAATTAATCTTATTTCTGTAACTTAAATCTAGTTTGCATCCAACTTTTGTAACTCATGAAAAAGTTGTGAGAAAACATGAGAATCATTAATTTATACTTTTTATTTGCCTTTGCATGTTCATCCTTCCCAGAGTTTGTTCTGGCAAGAGATGTTCTAAGTGATGTTGCTCCAATACCTACCTTTCCTTCAGGCTCCATCTCTTGAACATCTTCATCTCCTGTTTCAAAGCAGTTAAAAACAGACTTGAGCAGGCCAGCCTTCTCCCTCTCATGCAGACCTTCATTCTCTGATATAACTTCCTTCACTTTACTCAACAATGCAGCTAATTCATCCTAGAACAGATGTTTGTATCTTTATTTACCATTTAATAATGTTAACATGCACAGTTTGCATAGAATAAAATGAAATATTGTGAATGATGAATTGGGAGGGATGTGGAAAAAAGAAGTTAAGGTCTGTTGTAGGACACTAATAAAGCGCTTACTGGACAAACTGAGGGCAATCCTAACTGCCCAATGACTTCACCTCTCATAGATTTAAATATTTCCTGAGCACATCAAACACTTATAACTTGTGTTCTTCCTTCAAAATAAGAAACCACATTTAACAGCCATACAAAACACTTGGAAACATGATTGTTTGCATTATGACCTTTAAAACACATACCCTACAGTACTGCGACTCCTTTTCCAACTGTTCAATATATTCCTCTTGCCGCTCAATAAATGCCATGAGCTCAGGAGGAGGCAGAGATCCCTCAGGTTTCAAAGTTGTGTCCTGCCCCTCTGTTATTCCTGTTGATGGTAAGTTCTGGGTACTGTAAGTATGGGGAAGTTTCGTTGTGGGGTCTGTGTAGAGTGCACGCTTGGAGCCATACTGGGGAGCTCGGTATGGGGGCAAGAAATGCTGGTGTTGATGACGAGACCTCTCACTTAATGCCACAGATTCTACTTCATCTCCACTATCATCAGCCCTCTGAATCTGCAACATCACAAGGACTTCTTTCACTAAGCCTGATATTTGTTAATCTAGGAGCTGGGATAGCTCAGTCAGTACAGTGATGGGCTATGGGCTGGATGGCCAGGATTTGAATCCAGGAAGGGCAAGAAATTCTTCTCTACTCCACAGTGTTCAGACTGGCTCAGGGGTTCCAGCCTCCTACCCTATGGGTACTGGGTGACCTTTCTCTGGAGGTAACACAGCTAGGATGTAAAGCCAACCATTCTCTCTAACTATCATTGATGTCAAGAATGGTGGAGCTATACTTCCACTCCCACATCTATCTTCTTGGTGTGGTGCTTAATTAATTAAACACAGGGACAACTTTACCTTTACCTTACCTGTTAATTCCACATTCACTCACATTACAACACAGCCATTTTTATTTCAACATCATACATTTCACTGTTACAATTTTAAAATGTTAACATTCATAGCAGGGGGGGGGCACACGGTAGCATAGTGGTTGAGGGGCTATGCTACAAGCCGGAAGGTCGCAGGTTCAAGTCCCGATGAGGTCATTAGATTTTTTTCAGTTGGCCTAATCCTTCCAGCCACACTAGGCCCTGGGGTTTACTCAGCCTCTAACAGAAATGAGTACCAGGAATTAATTAAATAATTTTCCTGGGGAGTAAAGCGCGGCCGGCACGTAAGGCTGACAACCTTACCGCCATCTTTGAGCCGACTGTCTAGATAATGTGGGACACCTGAACATCCTTCACGGCCTGGTACAGGGATAGCTTTACTTTACTTTTTTTTTTTTTTACTTTTACCATTCATACTATATTTAATTATCTGAACATTTCTGGGTCATTACAATAAGCTTCATGGTATGAAATTTGAGGTTTTTATACTTCTGGGATGAGATATCATCTTCAGGCAATATCAAATTCCTAAAAAATATTGGTATTCACCTATATGATTACCTGGTGTCCTGACAATGAAGAAAACAGGTTCCATCAAAACACTGGTAACTATTTACACGAATATATAATAATTCAAGTCTGAAGCTCACACTATAACTTCATGGTCTTCAAAATTTTGTTTCATAAAATTACATTTATATTAGCTTACAAGGTAACTTCACACTTTCATGTCATCTGATGAGGTCATGTGTCAGAAGAGATATATTTCTATTAAAAGACTAATAACAGTAATAACCTTTTTAATTCTCTATGAATTCTGATGTAAAACCACATCTTCCATAGGTTAACCTATTAAACTACTTACTTCAGTCATTTGTAGTGACATATCTGCTGCAAAGTAAGTAGGTGGTTGGAGTGTTCAGTCATTCTTGTTATAATTCTTAAAATAATTAAAAATCATTACATTCAAAGTCCCTGAGTACATGTCAAGAAGTCAACCATTTTAAGCAGTTATAAAAATTTAGAGTTTTGCATAATTTTACATTCAATAAACATACAACAGAATGACTACCTGATTAGATATGTTACTAAAAGGATTCTAAATGATAAATCAAAAGGGGTGTGGGCATATTTTGTAATGACTGGAAGTGGATACAGTTTACTCAGGATAATTTCCAATTACAGTCTCTGGTATCAGCAGTGTTAATCATTCCAACTCCACTACACAAGAACTGATTTCTTCAACACTTTGTGGACCGGTGGAATATTTTTATGCCCAGCGCTTTTAAATGTGGTGGACCAGTGGCATATTATTATGATTTTAGGACACTTTATGTTGAAACACATTACACCTTGCACTGGCTACAGGCAGACACATGACTGGTGTGTGATAGACCTCTTGAATGTATGCTTCATAGTCAGTAACATGACCCCGCTGTTTATGACCCAACTGTTTTCCTTTCCCACTCCAAAAGAAAATGTCTTTGTTCATCTTCCAGCTGCATGCACCAGGCAGGAAGTTACTAGTGCAAAATGCATCAAGGTCGGAAGAGGTTGAAGTCCGAGCGTTTTCTCAGAGAACAAGAAATATCTGACTTGCTCTCCGATGAGCTATCTGACGCCCCATGTGAGTCTGCTAGTGATAGCGACTCACAATCGGATGGTGAGTGTGGCAGGGGCAAACAAAAAATTGTGGCCACAGACAGTGTAAGTGAAAGTGACAGTAGCTCCGACGAAAGTGCGGGCAGCAACATTGAGAGGACAGCCACATGGGGAAAAGTAGACAAAACGCCTGCTTTGGGACAGTTTACTGGAATCCAGGGGTGAAGCAAATTCCATCGGACCCAAATCCACAATTCACAATTCGCAATTCGAGCATGGTTGATGTTCAAAGGAGACATGGACAGGTAAAGAAGCCTGTTTGTATTTCCGAGTATAATATGTTCATGAAGGCAGTTGATAGAGCTGATCAGTACCTGGCATATTATTCTCTTCCTCGGAAAACAGTAAAGTGGACAAAGAAAGTTGCCTTGTGGCTTATAAATTGTGCCATTTTCAGTTCATTTTTGGTTTTCAAAAATCTAAACCTTCATTCAAAATTGAAATACAAGGCATTTCTGCTGAATGTGGCAAAACCCTGGGCTACAGACCACACAGTGGCAGCAGAACCGGCGGCAGACATAATCTTAGTACGACCGGGGCCGTCTACTCCCACCCCACGCATGCCTCATTTTGACCCCCCTGGGCAACTCTCGGGTGATATGCAGAAACATACCATCGTGAAAATTGTGAAGAGTGAACATGCCAAGGGGATGCAGTGTTTGCACAGTACACAACAAAAGGAGTATGACTGTCTACATGTGCAAGTTCTGTGTAATGCCACTTTACAAAGGGGAATGTTTCCAGAAATATCACACTCTCAAGCACTTCTAGGAGCACTGGTAAGTGTTCTCCAAAAATTTTAATTCATAAAATTAATTATGAGATTTTATATTAATTTTTAAAGTGAACAGTGCAAAAGTTAGGGTAGCAGGTTTAAAAATGCCGGTCCCAGGGTGATTTAAATATTTAAATCGCCGGTCCGCAAAGTGGTAATTAATCTGTCCACCAACATGGTAGGAGGGATCTCAAAAACATTCCAGAGATCATATGGGTTAACATGTGTCAATCCTGTCTGTACCTACACTAAATAGTGCAGTTCTGTCTGTGAAATGTTTCAACCTGACAAAGACCACTTTCCTAAGTTTACATTAGAAAAGAAGAGTTTTACCTGAAAGCTCTTGGTGGGAGATGAGTGTGGTGAATACGACTCTGCTAGCAGGTATCTGAGTCTTGCAACTGCCTCCTTGTATGCAATGTCAGTGTAGTCTGGAGTTTGCTTCTTAAACGAATCCATCTTATGGGAAACAGTGGATTTCCTAAAACCATTAATGAAAATCAACCCTGAAGACAGACACAGCAGGTTCCTCCAAAAACTTGGTATCCACCCACAAGGCTACAGGTGTCACAAGCCAGAACATCACAACCTGAACCTCACTGCCTTGAAAGTATTACATCTCATATTATACATTTCTTAACATTCTCACCACTCTTTTCTTTATATTCTGGGTTATTTAATAACCCTTTCAGTATTTAGACTATACAGTGTCAGATGGTATGATGACTAATGAATGATAAATTGGAGAGGATTTTAAGGAAAGAGTTGTGGCCTAATCGAGGCAATATCCCAGCATTTTCCTGGAGGGACTGACGTAGACTTCAAAAATGTCACTCTGGATAGCTTGTGTCCCAGCCGAGATTTGAACTGAGCACCTCCCAAATACAGGTCTAAAATGTTACCCCTATATTAACCTGCTTGGTTTCACCAATCATACATCCTTTCTGCAAGCTGGTGTGTTATGTATTGACCAAATATGTTTGGATTTCCCAATGTCGTATGAACACCAAAAGTCTGAGATAGCCTCTAATAATTTTCTCAAGTTTGTGCCAAAATCTACATCACTACTTGAGAAGTACATAACTTTCCATGATGATGTAATGTCCACATCACCATCTGATACTGTCATACATGTCAAGTTGTTCTTAAATTACATGCTTCTAAAGCACAACTAAGCCTCCTCTGTTAGTTTCAGTTTGAAAATATGGATTTAAAAACAATACTTCCTGTATGTGTTCAGTCATGTGGATTACATGTAACATTACACATTATTCTTTTTTATTCAAAACTCAAGTATAAACTTCGTACTATGGTCTGTGGCATTATGAAACCATGTAGTCTCGTAGGTGGGTACAAGTGTTTTGGAGTAATAGACTGCCTCCATCTTCAAGACAGAAATGAGCCAAGTAGTGGATGGTTATATAGAAGTAGGGGGGGAAAAAATGTCGTGGAGGCCATGGATGGCCAATATGAGGCAGGGATGGGAAGAAATGATGAGGCCCAAATGAGCCAAGGTAATAAAAGGGCCAGAAAAGAGAAACTACTCCAGAACATGGGGAAGAAAGAGCAACAAAAGCTCTAGTGAAGTTCACTGAAGAAAGATCAATAGCAGCCTATGTGCAGAGCCATGGTCAGAAGATAGTTAAGTCAAAATTTGTCTGTTGAAACATCCTTCTTGCAATTCATCAGGGTGTGAAACTGGAGCCATGGTCAGAAGATAGTTAAGTCAAAATTTGTCTGTTGAAACATCCTTCTTGCAATTCATCAGGGTGTGAAACTGGAGGCTTCTATGGCCTGTTCAGGGAGAAGCCATCTCCTCTGTTCATGTTGCAATGGCGTTAAGTCGCTAGTCATTTATTTCTTTAACAATCTGATTCATTCATCTCAATATTTTCTTCTGCACACTGATAGCCAATATGAAAGAATCGTCATACGCAGAAAGAACCCAACTTTAATGGCTCTTTACATTTTTGTCTGTGATGACTGCAATTGGATGAGAGCAATCCAATTTCAACATCAGGACTGTGGGCCTCCTGCTAAGGAAACAATCCAATTTACGTGTACTTCGGTCCATGAAAGCTAAACTAGCCCTAAAGACACCAGTCACACAGCATCTGCCATGAATGTAGGACTGATTACATTGGACAGACTGGATCTTCCATTCATACTAAAAAACATCACTTACACATCTGTCTTCAACATCTAGATATGTCACCCACAGCAAAACACAGGATACACCTCAGTTGCTGCATCTAGATACAGGTCACCAATCTCCTGGCCTAAAAAATCCAGGCATACAGGCCAGATCATCAGGAAAATCCAGATTTAACCCTATCACAACATAAACAGGGAAGATTTCTGCCTCAGCAGGTCATGGAAGACTCTCATTCACACAGTGAAGGAATGCAAGAAGGCTTTCAAAGGAGAAGCCTTGACGTGGCTTCCATCTTCCTTCCTTGTACCTGTGCAAGAGATTGTTGCCATTCCTTCTGTGAGCTTCACAAGGGTCCTTTGTTACTCTTTGTTCTTCCTGTCTTGAATTTTCAAGGCCCATGGTTCCCACTCATCTATCTTCAGTATAACTAGTACTTAAATTCTAGTGAACAGAGGCACTCAGAATACATTGACCAGTGTCAGACCTTGGTCTGTAATGTTGGACTTTTTATTACATACTGCAAACCTAATGTTAGGTTTTGAGTTATGTTTTTGGTCTACTTTCCATATTTTGTAAAAATAAAAGTACACTTATCATATCATCTTGATGTCTGTGTGTATGTGTACCTCCTCCTGTCACTGCTAGCCAGTGGCTCAGTAAACATGTTCCCATGGCAATGAGCACATAAGCAACAACAGAAAAATTGTTGGACACATTGTCTTCTAAGCAGTCACTATCATATCAGAGGAAAGTCTGTGTGTAACCCCCCCCCCTTATCGTTGCTAGGCAACGGCTAAGTAAATGCTCCTGCAGTAACGAATACGCATGTCACAACAGAAGAATTGTTTGATACGTCGTTTTCTATGTGGTCCAAGATGTATCAAAGGAAACTTCTATTAGAAATGAACTTCTAATGTTGGTGGAAGGTGGGACGGGACTTGTTCCCCTAGTGTCTCCGCAAACTACAATTTCACCGAAGTGCCCGCTTTTCCCAACTTTGATTATATCTATCGTAAAGACTGGGAAGTCTGTTTGTTCTCTTGAAACAATATGTTCACTCTACAGTGCCGTAAGCCAGAACATCATAATATTAATTTTCAAATATGCCATAACCTCACATCTTGTCAGTACAAATTTGTACTTACCAATCTGCGAGGAAAAATAGAATGCCAAGTGATATGAATGAGAGCAGATTTTCTTATTAGACATCTGAAGTTTCGACTATCTGCGTTTAAATAAATACAACAATACAATTAAAAGCTATATTGCGTTCTTTATACCGGCAAGAAGCATTCCCTTTCCTCAAACTCCGCCATTACAAAACATTTGAATTTTTTTAACCACGTCATGGCCGATCATGGCAGCCACACTTTGAAATGTACAGTGAAATCTTGGTATACATGTTTACCATGGTAAAGATTCGTTGAACAATTTGTACAAACATATGGGCTTTCATTTTGCTCTGCTCGTTCATGTGTGTGCGTATGTGTGTATGTATGCTAAAATCTTTCCAGGCGATCAGCGATGTTGATGTTAAGTTAAAACCTGTTTCAGAGATCACTGTTTTCAGCGCCGATGTCATTCATACCGTCGTCACGTTGCAGTGTGGCCTGCGGTGGCCTGGTCCTGGCGGCGGATCTGTTTCCGTGGTTCATGACATCCATGACAATAATTTTGTCTTGTCAAGACTGTCAATCGCTAAAGTCAATGTTTGTGTCAGTTATACTGTTCGCTATATTTACATTTTATTTTCACGAATACTTCGTTCCTTGCGAGGTCTGTCGTCAAATACAGATACACATAATAAAACTTTCAGCCGCACTATGGCCCTGGGGGCCCTGGGGTCGACTCAGCCTCTAACAGAAATGGAAATGAGTACCAAGAATTAAATAAATAATTTTCCTGGGTTGTACAGTGCGGTCGGCGCGTAAGGCTGACAACCTTACCGCCATCTTTGAGCCGATTGTCTAGATAATGTGGGACCCTCAATGTTTCACAACCCTATGGGCCTCCACGGCCCGTTACAGAAATAGCATTACTTTTTCTTTTTACTTTAGGTGCTTGTAACACATAATATATTCCAAATGCGTGTTTACGATACATACCAGGCATCTGTAAGTCCAGGACTGCTCACTTAAACAGCTGTACGCTTGACCGCCATCAAGTTCAAGCCTCTTCACTATATTCTCTGTGTCAAGCTCCTCCTTTTCAGATGTCGCAAACATTTAAATATTCATTGTTTTTTTATAGCTTCTGCTGTTGTGAATGTCCAAACGTCGCTGGTAATCAGAGTGTTACTAAAAGATGCGGACGAATTCCGTATACAAAATTCTACATACAAAAACAAGAAAAAAGTCCTTATCGACATCTGTCCAGAAACCTTTATTTTGTGAGTTATCGCTGAAAGAATACTGTCGTGACAGTCAACTTTGATTGCTCATGCCCCTCATGGCTTTCTAGTAAGTAGTAACTGCCTGCTCTTGCGTATAGTGAGTTGACATTCAAACGCGTTCGTAATGTTACCAATTATCTTCCATTTTCAAGAGTTGAGTGATGGTAGCGTGTTCAGTATTAATGTGTGGGCAGGCATTGCTGGTGATTGGTAGGCCCTCATGTTTTACCCCATCGGATTACAGGTAACCAAGACCGAGAGTTCCTCTTGTACGATCTGTCAAAGCTATTAGAATATGTATTACTGACAGTCAGATCACGAATGTGGTACATGTATGATGATACTGCAGCACATTTTAATTCTCTGGATTTTTACCTTTGGGAACATCTAACAACCCCAGTGTATGCAGCTTCTGTTGACAATCAAGAAGCACCTCACCACTGTAATGTGGGTGTCTGTCAGACTATCCACACCTACTCAGGCATCTTGGAACGTATGCTGCCGTCCATGATGAGCTGTGTCGAGGAGTACATTGAAGCTCGTGGAGGACATTTTGAGCACATATTATAAGGGTACTCTTGCAGCTATAGCTCAAAAATTAAATATTCCCGAACATATGTTAGTATGACTTGTTATTCTTGTTTTCGTTTGTGGAACTCGTACTCGAAGTGTGTCCGCACTTTTCTGTTTTACTCTGTATGTGATAGTCTGTCAAATTGATGTCTCATCTTATTAAGTAACCCAAGTGTTTCTGATCCATTACCATGAATCTGTCAAAACCCCTTCCGGGTCTTCCAATAAGGAAGCAATCTTACGTGTATTTCTGTGTAACATTTTGAATTGTATTTTGCACTTTAAAGGCATTATAGGAGGAATCTGGGGTTGAGACACAAACTTAAAGTTCTCTCCCACGCTCGAGCCAAGGCTCTGGGAGTTCTGTTTGTTGTAACCTTAATGCACAGCTGACCCTAATGCATTTTGGAGGGGAGATGTGAGTGCATTCCTGTGAACCAACGCCCAGTTTGGTCCTATAAGAAGGCACGTGTGAAAACACACGGTATCAGATCTTCTGGTCACATTATAGAGGGCGAAGCTCTGCTTCTCGACAGTTAAACTTTATTCTTTGTACTTCCACCACGCTGGTCTGTTTGATCCAGTAAAGCGAGATCTCTTGTTGCAACCAAGAAGACTTAGTTTTTCTTGCTAACCTACAAGTCTCCGTGATTATCCCAATTTATCGTCGAAGTCTATAACATCCTGAGGCATCGACATTGTGACGTCTAGCTGTCATCGAGAGACCACGCTTACGACATCACCGGTGGCAGCGACGACATTACATTACAAGTGGAGGCATTTTGATCACGCGAAGGTTTTTGTTCATGCATGCGTACTCGAGTCTTCTGGGAAATGATATGTACTATAATTTGGTGCCAGTGTTTTTGGGTAACGTGGCGTCTTCATCGTCAGGTAGAAGAATTTTTTTATTGCTAGTGGGGTGGGACTAAGTCCCTTGTACTGCGGCCACGTCTGGTCTATTGTACCAGCCCCAGATGATAGGTGACGATGATTGTGGAGCAACTGGTGGAATGACGATTGGCAAGGGAAACCGAAGTACTCGGAGGAAACATGCCCCAGCGCCCCTTTGTCTACCACAAATCCAACTTGATCGAACCCGGGCCGCTGCCGTGGGAAGCCAGCGACTAACCGCTTGAGCTATGGCGTGGCCCTGGTAGAATTATTACTATTGTGCAAAACCCGAATTCCACAGTTAAGTTGGCTGTATTGAATATAAGTGTAAGGAAATCTGAGACTCTCACAGTGCCGACAATGAAAGTGACTGCAATGTCGGCTCGATGTGTTGCAGTAGCACTGTCAAACTGTAAGAAAGTTTTCTGTTACAAGTTTTGGGGTTTCTCACGGTGGCGATTGTTCACATTGTTTTCTTCACGTTTGTGATAACGTGTAGTCTTGCGTCATTTTAGAAGCATAAGCTGCCTGCATTTTCAGGTTTGAAACGTGTAGTGTGTTGGGTTGTCTTGGCAGTTGCAAGGAATGTGGTCACTCAGACCCATGGGAAAGGACAGGAAATGGATAAGTCCGGGTTTATCCGTAACGTACTTATTCACCTACATGACTACACCATGTCATAAACAGGGACGACTACAATCTCAAATTTCTCTTGTTCTTACAGGCTGTTATCACTCTGCTAAGATTGTTACATACACAGTGTGTCCAGGTTCTGCTAGGACTGTGTTTATTAAAAATACAAGACGTGAATTATTTTCAAAATTACACTCATTATTTCATTTGGATGTCCTGGATGGTGTCCTGAAGGTCACCTTTCATCGCCAACTTAACGTTTGGGAGCAATCAGAAATCTGCTGGAGTCAACTCTGGCGAATACGGAGGATAACCAAGGACTGTGATCTCTTTTCTGGCCAAAAAATCGCGCACGATCTTCGATTTGTGGGTTGGGGCATTGTCGTGGAGGAGCGACCAGAAACCTTGCTCTCGATATTCAGGTCGAATTTGAAGAATTGTCGCCCACAAACGATTCAGAATTCACTGTTTGACCTTCTGGCAGAAATTGCTTTTGGAATCGAAGAAAACGGTTAGTAGTGTCTTACTCGACTATTTTGCATGCGTACTTTCTTTGATTTCGGCTTCTTTGGGCTCAACCAACTCTGTCGCTTTGTGAAAAGCTCTTATTGAAAACACCATGTCTCGGCACCAGTAACAATCGATTTTGTAAATTTTGTATGTCTTGGCAGTGTTCCACTCTGGCATGTTTTTCATCGCCTGACAATGCGTGCGGTACAAAACGCGCACAGACCTTCCGTTTGTCCAAATCCTCGGTCAAAATTTGATGCACATTACTTTTTGGTATTTCCAAAAGCTCCTCGATGAGTCTTGTAGGAACACACCTGTCTGATGCAAGGATTTCGGCCATTTTTTTTCACACTTTCTTCAGTGCGACTTGTTCTCGGCTTTGATGCACGTGGAGCGTCTTCAATGTCCTCCCTGCCGTCACGAAATACAGCATACCATCCAAAAATGTTCGGGCGACTCAAACGATCATTACCGTACACACTTTTCACCATTTCGAACACTTCTACAGCTGTTTTGCCCAACTTCAAACAAAATTTGATGTTGGCTCTCTGTTCAAACGCCATTTTCTGACGAGTGTCAGAACAGTACTGTTACATTCAAGGTCAGAACACATGATGCAGCGATGCTTGCGCTTTGAAATTATAGACAGCCACAGCTGAAACTTCAAGAATCTTAACTCCACAACTCGCCAACAGATGGCGTTACAGGAAAAAAAAAGAGTCTCAACGGATCCTGGACACACCGTGTATATTCTCCACGTGTAAAATTGGCGCTGCCGGCATCTTGATAATGTTTCTGTGTAACCAGAAGCCCACAGCATACCCAGCGCCATGCAACTGGTAAACTTTTCCCCAGATTGTCTTGTGTTCCTTATGAAAACGCGCTGTTGCATGTTAATGCTATTTTAACAGAGAACATAGAGATTTCAGTAAGGCCTGTACTACTATATTGCGGAATGGGGAAGCCCAATATCTTGTTCCATCTAATTCAGAGGTGGAAATCATTTTTTTATTTTCGGGCCAAAAGATCTCGTGACTAAACTTCAGCGATAACAAAACTCCGTGGTGTTAGTCCGCAAGCGAACTATACCGACCGAGGGACCACCGCTTGTCGGCGAAGGCATTGCCAACTTTAGCAGATAGAGGATGTTGCGTGGTCAGCGCAACGAATCTCCAC